CAAAATGAATCCATTCAGGAAAGTTTAAGTGTGGCACTAACAGGCGATAAGATGAGAGAGAGTAGACTTAGGTGGGCTAGCCATGTGTGGCGTCGACCAGTACAACACTTGTTAGGAGGTGTGAGTTATTTCAAGTGGAAGGATTGAAAAGGGCAAGGGGTAAGCCCAAAACGACGTGGTTGGAAGTAGTCCGAAAAGATATGGGGGCATATCTTCACTGAGGATATAGCCTTAAATAGAGCAGAATGACGGACCAGGATTCATGTAGCCGACCCCAATTAATTAGGAAAAGGCTATGATGATGATCAACTCTCTCTACCTAAGACCCTCTCTGGTTTTGATTACACAAGTCCAATAAGACAATTCAAATTAATTCAAATAAAAGAAAAATAAGAAAAAGACTGAAAAATTTAGACAGTTTCAACTTCAAAAATTTATCAGGAACAATAAGAAATTATAAAATCCTAAATGCACAAATTAGAAGCCAAAATTACAAAATAACATTACATATCACATGATGCATTCCATTGAGGAACTACCTCATTAAGCAATAGCCAATTGAACATATGACTTTGAAGGCCATCAAGCATGTACAGTAGTAAAGTGAATTCCATATCCATAAAAATTAGAAAGCCCCACAACTGCAGAACATAATTGTGTCCCACTCTCACTTCATAAATGCATAAAGCAATTTAAATTATGAAATTAGACACAACTTATTACATATTACATAAATGAGAGAACAGATATATGCAAGTCATACGTAGTTGTCATCTTTGTCTACTTCTTCTTCATCATGATCACCACCTTATCATCATCACCGATATAACCTCCAATGGAACCCTCTAAATTCTCATCTCCACAACCTATGGGAAAGATTTTATATTATTAACAAATAAAGGAGCCTAGGAGTCTTGAACTACCAAAATTTCCAAGTAAGCACTTACAAACTAAAACTTTAAACTTCCTTGTAGAGGAAAGATCACTTTTGATCAACAACCTATTCTTCCATAATATTTTTCTTGAAAAATAGTAACTCGTATTAATCAATGGGATTAGCAGGACCTGACCGGTGCATTGGTAAGATCAGTCAAAAAATAATGAAATAGGGAAATCAAAAGAACTGAAAAATGGGGAAAGTATGGGGAAAAAAGAAAAATGAAAATGGGAAAAATTAAATATTTCCATAGATCAACATTTCCGCCATTGCATTTTGGCATTAAAGAAACAAAAAAGAAGTACAAAAAAATTAAGTTTTATTAAATAAGAACAGAAAAGAAAATACCCGAAATTCATGAACAAATATTATCTGTCAACATTTTCCATAGCTTCATTAAAGGGTTGAAGAACTAACAATAAAATAAAAAAGCAAATGAAAAGAAAAAACGAAAAAATACTTAATTTAATATCTGTTGATGAAATATTGATTGGATTACTGTTCAATTGTACCTTAATGCAAAAAGAATGAATAAAATAGGCTGCCCACAGCTCGGTAGCTTTGTTTAAAATGGGGTGACAGGGTACCCCTTACTATTCTACTTCCTGTATATGTATGACTGAAAGCTTATGGCTGCATACGAATGTGGTGCTCCTTTACAAAAGGGATTGATGGAGAGGAATGAAGTATGAGGAGAGTGAGCAATTGAGGGAAATGGTATGAGGATATAGGAAAATAAGGAGATAGGGAGCGACTGCCCTTAAGCAATGAAGATGAGCTCTACAATGCGGGTCACTTGCTGTCCCTTTCTTCGCCAGGCTGTTAGCTAGGTAGCTGGCCTCCCTCGTTATGTGGTTGAAGCTGACCTGTAAAGCCGTGCACAAGAAGTGTATATGCTCGAAGCGATGCACCAGTCTCTTTGGGCTTTGAACGCTACCCCATGCAACGACATTTATAGTCACCCCAATGATAAGGTGGGTGATAGTGACATTAGCTTGGTGGATATGTTTGAGGCCTTCAAAAAGGGCAAGTGTCTCTACCATGGTGGAGTTGCTGGAGCTTATAAAACCTGAGAACAAGACAAGGGGTTCTCCTTTAGATTCCTTAGAATGCCCTTGGAGCCTCAAGGACTGAGGTTTCTAGGGAACAGCCATCCATATTTAATATAAGGGAGCTAAGGGGATGAGGGACCCAAATTGTACGTCTGATTTGAGGCGTTGGATTTAGGAACAAGATAATTTCCCATCAATTTAGGAAATTAGAGGTTCACAGGTTCATCAGGTCTCTACTCCCTAGGTCATCAGATTATCTTGTCCCTGATTTAATCTTGAAGGGTTTGTGGTGATGCTACATGTGCTTGAAAGATTCAGGAGTTCCATTCTTTCCAAATTCTCCGCAAGGTAGCCAATATGGTTGCCTTTTAAAGGAGTCAACCAATTTTAGGCAAGGGCGAAATTAGGAAGTTGGTGAGGAGTTGGACGATTGATTCCTGAGAAAA